TCAGCTTTCTCATTATTCTTTCAATTATAATGAACTGATAGCTAAAGGGCAGAGTGCATGGTTTGGTTTGGTTTTTTAACTTTTTTATTTATTTTATAAACCTATCAAAATATTTGGTACTTTTTCACAGTCACTGTCTATTTGAGACCCTCTGCTAAATCCCCTTTATCTCTTAACTTTTTACACAAAGAAAGCTCCTGCAGCTTTGAGGAGATATTTTTTTTTTTTCAGTCTGAGTGGTGATGGAAAAACTTCAGTATTGTGTAATCTCACAGCAGACCCACATGATATATGACCCTAAGGTAAAGCTGTCTGTTGGTCTTTAACTTCAGATACCCTAATACTTTCTTCTTGAAATCACTAATTTCCTCTTTATGCCTTAAGGAAAGATTCTTCATTATGAAAGCTGTGCGGGTATTACATGCTACAGCTAATATTGTTAATGTATTTTTTAAATGTTTTTGGAAGAACAGATTTGTGATTTCTGGGGATGTAAGTCTAAAGCCAAAAAAGACCACAATACCCATGGATTAATCTTTTTTTGAGAATGAGGTCCTGGCTGTTCTTCCGTGGCATGTAAATCTAATACTTTACCAGGTCAGCTTGAAAAAACAAGGTGCTGTAGCCAAGAGGATACTTCTCCAAAGCGTTAGCTTTTAGCACTGAATAAAGGTTAAGAACCAACTCTGTTTAGTTGGATCATTTCTCCTGTATTTTTAGATTCTATTGAGGTAGCTTCCTCAAAGACCTCTCTTGTTTCCCTGGAGTACTGCCGTTGTCCTAAAACACCCGCTGCTCTTTTTTTTCAAAGCCAGATTAACAGTTTTGCTGATATTAATAACCATGAAAGTAGAGCAGCTATTTGTACGTTGGTGGGTGCTTTAGGTATAGCGGTATATGATAGATGACCATATACTTGTTTGTATCTAGCTTGCGGTAGTATTCTTGGGAGCAATGTCTGTCTCTCTTTTCATATAACTGGAAAGAATTTTTACTTCCCAAATCATAGAACCATACAAGGGAAAAAAAAAAGAAAAAAATGCAATTTGACTGTGTGCAATGTCATTAAAAATGGTATCAGCAACATTTTTGGGAAACATTGTGAAGAGAGGTTGAACTTGATGTAAGAATCAAATATTGCATTTGTTCCTCTTATTCCTTAAGATCTTTCTTGAGTTCAAAGAATCTTGAATTTAGTCCTGGAGAAGCAAACATCCTCCTTCTGAAATGAGAGGCCACTTGTCTAGGGCTGTGCATTAGACTACATACTACAAGCGTACCAAAATAGAGATGTATTGTCTTGAATGATGCTGCTCACAGTGTTCAAGAGGATGTACTCAGCGGTTCCTATACTCCTCCTCTGCGTTCCCTTTTTGATGCTTCTATTTGTAAATAACAATTGCTTGGCAAGTTCCAGATGTTGAAGTGAGTGTCTGGCAACACAAATTGGATGTGTTACATTTTAAGTCCCTGGATATGCTCATAGGAATCTTGTCAAAAAGCTAGCTCATTATTTTGTTTATACTTTTGCATTGCCGTTGCCTCGTGCAGGTAAGATGCATTCCTGTTCCCCCATTTTATGCTCACAACACAGAGTTAACTTTTTTAACTTGCTGCAGTAAAGACATCTTGCAGGCGTTGCTGCATGTGGAAGAATTGGAACTGTAACTGCTTCACAGCCAGGACTGAGTGCACAGCATAACCTCTTCAAGTTTCTAATGCTAAAGTTTCCTGCCTCCAGAGGAGGTCTGGGAAGGCAGACCCAGGCACTAGTGCTTGAAGGCATTCATGCCGCTTCTTGTTTGCCTGCCTCAGAGTTTAAGACAGTTTGCTTGGTTACTGTAACATTAACCATTGAACTTATAATTAAACAGTAACGAATCATGATGACTTAGTATTTGTTTCTTTTCAGTTACCCATGGATGTATAGTCTCCACAATCAAACTGTTTCTTCCAGATGGAATGGAAGCTCGATTGCGATCAGAGTAAGAATAAGTATCTATTCATGTGTAGCGAAATTAAACTACTGTTTAATGAGGATTTTGATGGATATTATGTTTCACATCAGCCTAGGAACAGTTTCTCTTCCTGTGATCATGCAAAGAAAGTAACTGAGAGCATGGTTCTTTTGCAGGCATTATGAAAAAGAAATCTCATTTGATTGTTGCTTTTAGAAATTAAGACAACTATGAAAGAATAAAAAAGTTCTATGAAAGAATAAAAAAGTTCTATGAAAGAATAAAAAAGTTCTTGTCCAGTTAGGCTTCTCTGACTGGCCGTGGTTTAGTGTACTGGGATGGGTGTTAGAAACTGAAGAATATAGGACAAAAGCAAGCAAATGAGCGTTCTCCATCCCTCTTATTTGGGATTATTATTTTTGCTCCATTAAATGCACATAGACTCTACTAAAGTGAGGTTAATGGTGTCTCTGTGCGTACAAGTGACAACATAACACCATTTATATTCTTCAGATAAGTAATGTGTCATTGTAGTGCAGTTATTTGGTGTCACAACGAAAGAAAGCTTTGCCTGGCATAAGGAAAAAAAAATCATGTAGTATGTTGGATAGAATAATGTTTGGAAACTCAGATGAATATTGAGAGGGTTTTCTGTGTATATGTGCACATTCTGGAGAAAATTTCAAAGAGCAGTAGAAACAAAATGTAAACATTTTGTTTGCAGTAACTGAGTGCCAATTACAAATGATATAAGTTTAATCATCGTTCATCCTCAGCAATTGTATGGTTTTGATTGTTTATTTAAATATTCTTTTATCATTAGTGTCCAGAAATATTTGCATGAAGCTTTAGGGTGTCTTTGCTTCTGGGAAGATAAGTCAGAATAAATTAGTATGGGAAATTTTACATATAATTGCATGTCCTAATAAGAAATAGTAGACATGCATGGTGTTAAGTTTTTAGTTCTGATGAAAATGTGCAAGTATAACATTTGCCCTAGTGAAAGTGTACAAGATTCTGTAATTAGCAATTGCTATTTTACTCAGTTTGCTGAATTTGTAAACGAGAGTGGTATATTCGCTCTTTCCATATCTGTTGTTTTGTGCGTGCGAATTGGTTTAAGTCTTAATAAATCAGTTTTAGAAAAATAAAATCTTATGTAACTACTGAAATAAAGTTGGTAAAGGGAGTTTTTAGAATAGACCTTTGATTATAATTTGAAAATAGTTCTGTAACTTTGAAAACATTGTATTAACTGGTTTTGCATGTTTGTATATTAACTCTTCATTTTTATCTGAAGAATGAACTTAAAAATAAAAAGCATCTTCATTAAATTAGGGATCTTGTAGATTTTTGCACTGCTATTCTGCACTTTGTGTTCACTTTTTAAATTTTTTTTTTTTTTTAGTGTTATCCATGCTCCATTACCAAGTCCTGTTGACAAGGTAATTCAGCAATTTGGTGTTTCCTGCCTTATTCAGCCACGTGCTATTTTCTGACTTGCTGTAAAGATGAAGAAGTGGTGAAGTCCAGTTACATTTAGATATGTTTTCCACTGCCTGTTTTTTACCTATTTAATATTTTGAGTGATGTTTAAGGTAGAGAAGGTGATGCAGTATCACAGTGTGTATTTTAAGGTAGCTTGACTTCTGAATGTAGTATGGCATCTGAAACATGGCTTAGGAAAAAAACTACTGATGTTAAGGTGGTTAAAGTTCCAGGTACAGGTTGACTGACTAACAGGTCTTGGGTATTGCATAATTTGATACTTTATTGATTCTGTGGGACCCAAGAGTAGCTTACGATTTGGTGTTTGGATGAGGTCTGTTGTCCTTGTGCCCTGTTTTTTATGGCGGAGAAGCTGCACTACACAGGCTGGAAACTGCTCTGGGATGTTCCAAAGGAAGATTGAGACCAGACCTCTCTGTTCCTCTTGTGTAGCCAGAGTCACTCACTGTAGAGTCATGGAGTCAGTGATATCTGGTGTAATTTTTAAACTCAATTTTGATAATGTGGGGGACTTGTAGAAAAGCTGTTAATAGATACACCTTTGAGACAAGTGATCAGGAATTGATTGTCTTTCTAGCCTCTAAAAAGAAGGATTAAGTTAAATAGGTTTGAATCACAGTTTTAAATGTGAAGAACAAAATTTTGAGGAAGCTAAGGAAACTTATTTGTGAAATCAGCAGCCTGAGGAGTTCATAGACTTGGCATTTAAGTTGAGGTTTCAAAACAGCGTATGTAGCTTGAATCCAGCGCAAGGGCAGAAATTCTGAGCGGGGACTGCAGGTATAACTTTGTGAAAAACAGCTTCAAAATTATGTCAGTGTGGGAAGAGCCTATAAGAATTAGTAAATAAATAAATTTGCAAAAAAAAAAAAACCATCAAACAACCCCACCCCCCCAAAGTCCAGAACAGTTTCAGTTATGACTGAAGATAATACAGGTATTCCTCAAATCTGAAATAGATACTTATAAAGGGGAGTGATGAAGTTCATGGCTAGTAGGTCAACAGGAAACGTGTATAATGATGATGACATTGCATTGGAATATAAGAGACTATTTTCAATTCTGGAAACCCCCAATTTCTGTTTGTCCTTGGGTTGAATGGCTTTACTGGTGTGCACCTAACTTTTTTTTTTTGTCAGCTTAATCTCAGCTGAAACAAAAGCCTTAAAGTCTTTGGTGTGTTGGTGGTTCAAGAACTTGTAAAGACATTAACACAGTGGGGCCTCAGTCCAGAGCTGGGAAGTTCTGTGATAAAACAAAGAATAAATGGTAGGAGAACAATAAATGATCGAAAATTCCATTATTAGATAATCTTAAGTTTACCTTCATGACTAGATTTAAATGATGAATTTTGCATTCTTTGAGTTTAATGAAAAATCGAAACCACTTTTGATTCTTAAATTCTCTTATTTTTCAGGTTGCTGCTAACACTCCCAGTATGTATTCTCAGGAATTGTTTCAGCTTTCACAGTATCTACAGGTAGGTTTTCTCTTGACAGCATTTAGTTTGGCTAAATATTTAATCTTTATTCAAAACACGTATCTTATGTTCTGTATGTCTGGCTTGCATTTTGTAAACTGCAGCATAAGCATTTAACTACCTTTTCTGTAGTGAAATAATGTAAAACGTTGTAATTGGACATAGTATAGTTCTATCTAAACTTTTGGGGTTTTGCATGCACAGTATAAACTATGACTTTTATTAAAAAAGCCATGAAAGCTCTCTGTTTTATAGAAGGCTCCCTGAACGCTATATACCTGTTTTTCCTGGCCTTTCCCTTCTCCTGCCTCGCTGTCCCCAATTTTCTTTTGCTCACAATATTTTTGTCATCATCTGTTGCTGTGGATATACTGCATATGTGTATAAAAGTTTTGGTAGAACAAAAGAAAGGCGAACCAAGAGGTCATTTCACGTAGTCAAGGACTAGTTTGTTTCTGTGAATATAATTTCTTAGCGTGAATATTTCTGTCTGTGTATCTATTGGAAAATATAAAGGAGGGGACAGTGCTGGCAGCTTTTCCTCATTGGCACCACCAGCCTTTCTGTGCCTGCTCCTGTCATTTTAATAGGTGTGTTTTTTCCTAAGATGCCATGTCACAAAAGGGTTAGACTGCAAAAAGGCAACATGTTGAAGTGTGTGCTAATACATATAAATAAACTCTTGAGGAAGTATCATAAAATCAGCTTTTTGGAAAAGATATGAAAATATTCTTGCTGGTAAATTCTATCTAGGTTTAATTAATGTATAGTTCTACTGATTTATTTTGCCTGGTTTTGTTTGGTAATGGCAATTTGTATTTGTTCACATCAATGATGAGACTTTTGAGACAGATACTAACTTCATATTTATTTGCTGACATAGCAGGAAGCAGCTCAGGGAGATGCTCTTTCTTGGGAGGACAAATACATACTCACCAATCTGTTCATTCTCTGTATCCTGGAATTATTAACGAAGATGCTCTTCTATCTTACTGTCATAAACCAAAAATCAAACATAAATAGTAGTTCTTCTGTGACCTGATTTGAGGATAAACAACTCATTGCATGGGAACTGCCAAGCTGCCTTTTGGTGTTTACAGTTTTGTTACTCAAATTTTTGACAAAAGTCAAAGTGTTTTAAGTCTTGGAAAGAATAACTTGTTACTATGTGTACTCAGTATGTTCCATGAAAAATTGAAGTTTTAAGGGTAGGATAACTTTAGGATAACTGTTACAGGATAACATTTTCTAATTAAAATATCCAAATAAAAGTGTGGATGGATAAAATGGGATGGGCTTCTTTATAGTTTTGAACGTGTGACAATGTTTGCTACTCTCACTTTTTTTTTTTCCTTGTATTTTGGTATCCTGTCTGTTGCTTCTGTTTTTCTGAGTTGTTCTAGCTGAACTGACTGGTGCTCTACTCTCTTCATAGGAAGCCTTACATCGGGAACAAATGTTGGAACAGAAGCTGGCAACCCTTCAGCGACTACTTGCTGTCACGCAAGAGGCTTCAGATACTAGTTGGCAGGTATCTGCAGGCATCCTTTTCCTTTACGGACTGAAATATGTAGTGGGCTATGAATTTTAGCTATTAATTTACAAACAATGGGGGGAAAAAAGCAGCCGAAAAAATAAAAAGACTATGGCAGTTCTCTTAAACTGTGCAAAAGATAATGTTTAATAAATATGTACCAGTTTGAAATAACTATTAGTAGTAAGTACTCCAACAAAATTAAAGTCTTTAAAGCAGAACTCTACTGGAACTACATAAAGCACATGTTAATACTAAGGTGATACTTGTTTTCTGCTAGGCTTTAATAGATGAAGACAGGCTGCTATCAAGATTAGAGGTTATGGGAAATCAATTACAGGCATGTTCAAAGGTAAGTAGTTCGCTCAAAAGTTGAATGCTAGGAATGCTGAAAGATAGCTCTTTTGAAGTGTTTTGAAATTAGCTACTTGTTGGAAAGCAGTTAGAATATAAACTTTCCAAAAACAAGCCTGTGCAATTTTGATAATCTGACTAGCATGAAAACTTTCGATCTGTTCTGTATTTCATGGAATCACTTTAAATTGGATAAACAGCTTTTCCAGCATTTTTTTAGCCCAAATGGATTTCTTTTGTATATGCATGTAAACATGACATAGTAAAATGCAGAAAAAGAATTTCTGTCGTCAGTGAGAAGCAACCATTCTGTACCGTTTCCTAGGGATGTTTCTTCCCAAGTAGGGATTTGTAAAAAAGGCATTATCAGTGTGCTGTCTGATATTCAGAGACAGAGTAACAAGTATGCCCTGCCTTGATTGCTTTTTAGGCCACCTATGCCTGCCTTAAATCTTTATTTTATTTTCTTTTTAGTTCTTCTCAACCTACATTATAAGAACTTTTTTTGCAGGTCCTGTTTGAGGTCTTTCAGATGTGGCCTCGTAGGTTTCTGGTTTGTCAAACTGTAGGTCTCCTAGGCTTGACATTGTCTAGCAGTGTCCAAAAAAACCCCACAGTTTTCTTGTAATCAGAGCGCATCATTGGACGTATGCTGCCATACATACACTTCAAAAAAATAACTGGTTTACACCCAGTCATGTCAAGAATCTTTTGATCACTGATTTGTCCATAATATTTTCCCATCTACCAGAAATTGCTAAACATTTTGGAATAGAACAGGTCTTATCACAATCTAATATATCTAATCAGCAAAATACTAATTTATATTCTATCTTTGTATCTGAATTATCTTATATGTACAGAATCAAACAGAAGACAGTATACGAAAAGAGCTTATAGCATTACAAGAAGACAAACACAACTATGAGACAACAGCCAAAGAGTCCCTGAGGCGGGTCCTTCAGGAGAAAATTGAAGTGGTCAGAAAACTGTCTGAAGTGGAGGTACTGAAGTTTCATGCCTAATCTTTTGGAAATACTGAAATATTTATAACTGCTGCTACTTAGATCCCTGTTTTGTTGCCTGTAGTATGCCAGTATTTGTTGTATATTAAGTAGTAGTGTTTATTTCTCCTATTGGACAATACTTAAATTGTTAAAAAGTTAATGAGAAATTATTCTTTAAACTCCTTCTTTTTCTGCCTGATTTTAAAATGCACAACGAAGCTGTCTTACACAAGTTAGTATGTATGGGAAATAAGTGAGGGGAAAGTGACATACATGCATTAGAAAAAATGCTGTTAGACCTTGTTTAAACTGTAAAATTTAAGGAAATGCAAGCTTAACTGCTTATACAAGTTACACTTAAGAATGAGCTTTTAAGATTACAAAGTGTTGGACACTTCTTTCAAATAAGATTTCTGCCCCTGTAATACCTCTCATTACTATCTTTTATTTTGTCTTTCCACTATCATTATTTGCTGTGTTCCCTTAGGTCAAGAAGTATCATAAGACTTAATTTTAAGTGCTCAAAGCGTCTACCCTCTTCCTGCTTTTTAGAGAATGGGGTATATATAATGCTGTAATAAATAACCTTATGAGATTTTGGTTAAATACCCCTTTTTATATTGTAATAGTTCTTGAGAGGTTTGTTAATGGTTGGAGTTTTATGTTTACTTCTAGCTTTCTTCTCCTTTCCAATCCTATACTAAGAAAAGAATCATCTGACTGACTTACACTTTTTCCTCTTTACTTTGACTCTTGGGGGAGAAACATTAATTTAACTTTAGTAAGAGATTCACTTGAGTGCTTCCTGCCACATACTTTCCTCTCCACACAAAAGAATTACTGGCTCCTGGTTGAAAGTTGTCCTTTAATAATTATTACATAATGTAGTTTTGAATGCACATTTGTTTAAAGGTGTTTTGGTGGTGAAGAACTAAGAGCTTTATATAAAAAAAAAAAAAATTAAAATTGTGTGAATGAAGAAACAAACCTTGAGCTATGAGGAGGAAACTCTATACACCATTTAGTTGTGCCGCTATCACCAGCTGATGCAAACTGCCGGAGCATTTTTTGCCTCCTGAAGACCCAGATGCCTCTTGAGTAAGGGGATCTTAGTTTAGATGCCCTTCCACATTATGGAGTTGAAAAAAATATTTAGAACATTTCCTGGGAGCCATTTGGCTTGTATAATGTTTTAAAACTTTTGCTGGGTGAAAGGTATGATGAAATCTATTGATTACATTGAATCACAAAATATTATAAAACTTTCACAGTTTACCATAAACCAGAAGAGAATGGGGGAGATGGATTGCACGTTTCAGTTCTTTATTCCTATTAATCACAATTAATTGTATAACCTACTGTGGGTTGTTTGTTTGTTTGTTTGTTTGTTTTTTAACGTGCATGAAGCTAATACATTTTCACATAATCTGTTCTTTAAGTAGAACATTACAAAGGTTTGTATAGGTAGCGTTTTTGCCAGGACTTGATCTGTTTGTTTAGCCTTAATGATTAGGAACAAAGCAGTTAAATATGATTACTTACATATACTGTTTGGAAAAAATAGATCAACTTCAGTGTTTGGTAGATTATTAGTCTCTTTTTTTTATTTATTGCATAATAATTCTGTCTTACAGCGGAGTTTAAGTAATACAGAAGATGAATGTACTCACCTGAAAGAAATGAATGAGCGGACTCAGGAAGAATTAAGAGAATTAGCTAATAAGTACAATGGAGCTGTAAATGAAATTAAAGATCTTTCTGACAAGCTAAAGGTAATGACAGACCTTCATCTGACTTAATGATGATACTATAATGCATAGAACAAACAAATACAATTTGATTTCTAATGCAGCAATCAAATAAAGGTTAAGAAACTTTTTAAACAACAGGTAAATGAAATGCATATCATCTTTTACATATTCTTTTGGCTTACATTTAATGTACCTGAAAGTGTCAGCAGTTAAGTAAATTGCTAAAAAGGTTCCCTTTTCATTCACTTTGAAAGTTACCATATTTTTGGAGCTGCAGTATATTTTAATAGAAAATTACGTACGGTATAAAACTTTACATTCAGCTGCTTTTATATAGACAAATAACTTTCAACCTGAACATCTTGCAGTTAATGGGAATGAAAACTAGAATTAGAAATAAACTTGCATTTCATGTTGCCTCTTTGTGCAGTTACAAACATAACTACCCTACCACATAGTAATAGTATGGTTCAGCTTCCAGGGGGAAGGAGCGTGCCATCAGGTTTGTTATTAAACCAAATATCTAGGTATATTAATATTTAAAGGTCCTTTATGCTGGAGAACAAAATAATCACAGTATGATACAGCCTGTTCCAAAAGAGTCTCCAATCTAGATAAGTACAAGATGCAGAGGAGGAAGGTAGTAGTCTTCTCTTTGTGGACCCGAGACAGTTGTTGCATTTGTCTTAGATAAATACTGGAATTTGAACTCAGGTTCTTTGAGTCCTGGTTCAGCACCTCAGACAGAAGATTTTTCTTTCCAAATTAAAATGTTAAATTGCTGGTCTTAAGGCAGTTGGTTTCCCAGTTATGAGTTAATCACTGATGATGATGAGTATACACAGCAGGATCAAAATTGAAACTTATTACCTAGCTTTGAGGGAGGAGAGTCTGTGAAAATTATTATCATGAAATCCAGCAAGGAAAAAGATGTGGCTTTCAATCAAGTTGGTCTGTGCAATGTACATTCAGTTCAGAAGGACTCTTGGGTTTTGATTGGTTTGAGATGCTGGGAGACTTTGGGTGTTTCTTAGTTCTTGGGCCTTGGTACTGTTCTGTAAAATTTAGGTTCCTCAGGCAAAAAGTTACTTAAGATATTTTGAGATTCTTTCTCTCTGTAACTGTGCTTGAAGTGAAATTTGTAGAAAAATAACAGTAGAAAAAATTTGCATTGTTTCTATTTTCTTTATCTGACTAGCAAAGAAAGTTAGTTATGTACATTTAGTTATACAGAAATCATGTTACAGAAATCATTCCTTGACATGTTAATTTTGATTTGTTTGGCTATTTATTTTTAATCTTTTTCTGAGCAGGTAGCAGAAGGAAGACAAGAAGAAATCCAACAGAAAGGACTGGCTGAGAAAAAAGAATTGCAGCATAAAATAGATGAAATGGAAGAGAGAGAGCAAGAGCTTCAAGCAAAAATAGAAGCTTTGCAGGCTGATAATGATTTTACCAATGAGCGGCTAACTGCTTTACAAGGTTAGTCACTAGTGGGGAAGAAACTTTGATTATTTGTTTTTCTTTTAATCTGTGAAATATCTTTTTCTTGGACTTCTGTTTACAGTACGGTTAGAACATCTTCAAGAGAAAACTCTTAAAGAACACAACAGCTTAGGTAGGTGTGATCAGTTTCTTGTTTCAAGCTGGTTTCCAGATTTTCTGCTCAATTACTTTTATTATAATAATCTTGTAGTCTAGGGGTCTGGCAGAAGAATAACGTTTTACAGTTATCCCAGTAGTACGTTGTTCTTGGTTATCCCTCGTTAACATTGAAAGACATGTGGCCACGACGGAATGCCAGTAGAGGGCACTGCTGTTGTGAGTGTTCAGACTTCTGGGCCATTGCTCACTTTAGAGCTCTGTTTGTGTCCCCTCAGCTCCAAGATTTTGCAGGTTTTTATATACATATACATTAAAAAAAAAAAAAAAAGTATTTTTTTTAAAAAATAATATATGTAATAGGCAGTAATTCTTTGGATGATAGTAACCTCTTATACATTTGAACAAACAGGAACATAATCTGTAGTGCAGGAAAACACATTAAATTTTGCCTGTTTTGTTTGATTAGATCAGCTACTTAGAAGGAAGAGGTAGTATGAAAAGCCAGATGCATTTCACAATGCTCTATTTATAAAGAAACGAAACCCAAACCATTTTGCTTGGTTCCAGAAATAATACCCTTTCTTAATCCTAGGCATACAAGTTGACGACTTCATACCTAAAATTAATGGGAGCACAGAGAAAGGTAGTGTATCTTAAGGCTACCTTTTGTATTATGGTTGATGTTTGAAGTTGAACAAATTCAAAATGTTCTCTAAAGTTTCACTTTGAATAATATTCTCTTAAAAAATGAAATCGAATTTGTCCACTCCTCTGACCAGCATTTTTTTTTTTTGCTTAGACTTTCAGTCTAGGTGGTTTTAGAAAGTTCTGTAAAACATAATGAGCCAACTCGGAAGTCGTCTTTTTTTTTTTTCTTTTTTTTTTTTCTTGTTTTTGATGGGCTCTCACTGGAATCAGCAGGATTCTACTAAACAATGTCAGGTTTGTGACACTAGAAAGTGGAATCCAAACTCATTGACTTTTTCCTTCTTAATTCTACTTTCCCTTGCAACACAGACATATATCATTTTTCTAGTAAATTGGATGTGGTAAGTAAAGTCAGCAAAGCACACTTTTCTAACTAACATATGAAAAATGTGAGTATATGAAATATATAAATAGTGCAAGCTAACTTTCTAAAATTCAGGAGTGTATTTATGTAAAACAGGAATGAATACAGATTGAACTGATGGGTTTTTTAAAGATCAATTAGTTAAGGCTAAGTATTTTAACTAATGTGTCTTAACATACACTTGAAGTTTTTTGAATGAAATTGTCTGATAAGCATATGCCTAATATCGCATATAGCAAAGAATATTCCAGTAATGATACTAAATTCACTAAATTGTTCCATTGGCTAAGATATATTTGTCCTCTTATGTTAATTTTAAATTTTTCCTTGATGTAGCTTTCTTAAGCATTTGCTGTGTCTTGCTGGGTAGTGAAAGCTTTGAGGAATGGTGGTAGTATTAGTTAAAAGGATGGGGCACTTATAGAGAACTTGTGGTTTTAACTAATACTCACAGTGTTTAAGGATTACTGTATACAACTTTGAAACAAAATTTTAAAACTGTAGGCTCTGATTCTTAGCTTTTTACCTTTCTTTGTATTATAAATGAAGAGCTGCTTAACTAGGGAGACTAATAGCAAAATAAGAGGCATAACCTAATGCCTATTTCTTACTTGGAGCAGGAGGAGAGATCTGTTAAACACTGACAGGAACTGTACAAAAACCTCCCCTTAATCTAAGTACTAGTTATCCCTTAATGTCTTAGCATTTTAGGCACTTAGCTATGATGCACACTGAGATTAGCAAGCAGAAGACTTAATATCTATTCCCAGTTCTCTGGACTGCCATACTTTATTCTTCAAATTGATCCATCTTGCTGATGCATAATTTTAGGTTGGTAATACTCTTAACCATTCTATCAAGCATTAAGAAATAAATTTGCTTTTAATTTTTCTTTTAAATCTTCCACCTCAGAAAATAGTTAACTTCTTTACAAAGCAAAACTGAGGTACTATATAGGGATTGTGATCGTTCATTCTAATAATGTAAACTGTAAAAAGACTTTGAAAGTTAGGTTGTTGAAGGTTATTAGAAAAGCATGCAATACTGTGGAAAAAAAAGTAGCCTAGAGCTAAATTGAAACATTTAGTAAAGGCTTTCAAGTTTTGAGTGCAAATACATATTGTTTTATAAAGAATTGATAACATCACACTAATTATGATTGTTTTTCACAAACACTTTTTTGTTTGTTTTAAAATTGTTGGTAGGAATGTCTTGTTACTTTTTTATATACTGCTACCTCTTCTTAGTCTGAGTTTAAAAATTGTCTGAAATATTATTGCAAAATTGAATTAATTATTATGTGATTCTAACAAATATCATTGTATCACTGATACGTTTTTATCAAAATTGAAGAAGCAATCCCTTTTTGACTTATTTTGGATTGCATAAGGGTCAAAATGTCATTGGATGGATGTGTGAAAATACAGACTTCTCCATCCTATCAGTAACAGTAAAACTTGTGCTTAAACTTGGGAGTTTTAGGAAGCTGTCTGCCAATTCCTTTTTCTTTTTGAATATGGACAAGATATAACAGCTCATTCAAGTTGTCTTTTTGTGTGTTTATACAGTCTATCACCTTTTTCTGTCGTGCATCTACCATGCTATTTAATTATTCTGTATTTTAGCATAGTTTTCCATTATTCTGTCTGCTCTACCACATTCTTCTGCATCTCTGCTATACCTGGTCCATTGACATTTCTCTGACATTTTATAGCTTGCTGGCCTGTGTTCTCTTCATGACAGTCTGTGCCTTTCTGTATCTTCCTGTCCTTTATGTAGCTCTCATGTAATGGCAGATGGGCAGTAATTTTCTCTGCCAGATTTTTGATTTTGTTCTCTTGAAAGCAGCAGGAGGGCAGTTACTGGGGTTTTTGCTGAGTAGTCTTGCATTATTTTAGAAGAGCTAAGAATTTAGGGTTTATGATGTAGATTTTGCAACTATGGCAGTGAAAGAAGTTGTAGATATTTTGCGTAAGGAAAAGACTTCACAGTTGAAGGCAGAAGTGAGAAATTCAATGGGTTGGGGTTTTTTTGTTTGTTTGTTTTTGGTGCTAAATAGCCCGTAAGGGAATTAAAAAAGTTTCCTCTATTTGTATGCAAAGGTATACATACCTTCCTTCTCCACCCCCATCAGAGGAAAATGGTAAAACCAAATAAAATCAGTATGCTTTTCAAGATTCCTTTTGTGTGTCTCAAAACTTCAGGTCAAGTCCTCAAGGTATGTTTACAGGCATACTACCTAGCTGTTCCAAGGATAAGGATTTTGCATTACTTTTTTCTGTGGATGTCCATAACATTAAAAGAGCTGTAGTCTGAGTAGAGGAACTAGGAGCTCACGTTATAGCCTCTCTAGAGGCTTTTTATAGCAAAGTGTATTAGGACGGCAATGATTAGGCATTCATTTTTTCTCATTGCACATACAGAAATTCTGGTGCAGAAGAGAGTAACTTGCTTATACATCAAGCCACTGATAAAGGTTGCGTAGAACTGAGTTATTTCAATAAGTGGTATGTTTCTTAGTGAGTTACGCCACACCTGGCTTTCCTATTTAAGTTTTGTGAGCCATATATCATATAAAGAAAGATATGAGAAATTTGTATACAGCCACTTAAAGGATCATGTAAAAAGGCTAAAAAAAAAAAAAAAGAGTTTAAATATGGAAAAGAAATGTTATAGCCATGGTGCTGTCTTGTAAAAGCCCTGTCCTTGTGGGTAAGAAAAAAAGTTTACTTTTTAAAGTAACTTTGAAATATAGTAAAGCTTAGTATTACATACTGGATCTTAAAAGCTAAGCTTCTGATAGCAGAAGCTAATGATTGAACAATTTTGTTAGAATGTAACACATTTTGCCGGTTTGTGTACTAAAAAGCAGCCTTTTCAGACTGCTAGATTCTTGAGGTCAAAAGATTTTTGAGGTCCTTTAGAAAGGGTTAGCACCTTTTTACTTGAAGAGATGCACGATTCTGATGGAGTTGGGAGTTGAACAAGATCACATAGAAGGACTTGGATAAACCTGGGAATTAAGCCCAGTTTTAGGATCTCTACTGTAGAACTGTCCTTTCAAAAATTGTTGTTTCTGTGCAGTGAAACTGTGTTTAAAAGTACACTGAGATACTGAGCGATACTTTTACAATAAATGTTTTTCATTTCAAGACAATATTGGATATGAAGAAAAAACATGAAGACTAAAGAAAAACTTACTAAATGCCCTTTTAAAGCTAATTAAAAAAATGCTGAAGAATATAGGTTAAATACATGTTTCTTATTTCTTCAATGCTTGGATTTGGTATTTGCAATTATCCATGTCTGATGATGAAATAACAAATGGGAGCAACTAGAGGCATCAGTGCTATGGAGTTGCATGCTTCAGTAGTGTATCATCTTATGTGTTCTAAATTTACTGTGATTTAAATATCACTTACGTGTATTAATCTTTTTGCCAAAAATATTAAGTTGTCAATGGACATTTAGTGGAAGTCATTTGTCACCACCTAATGTGAAAGAGCAATACAGCAAATGCCAAATGCAGAATGTTTGGACTTTTAATAATTGGTTCTTACTAAATTTTGTTTAAAAGTTTGTGGTTTTTTTTTAAAAAAAAGCTTCTACTGAGGTAAGGGCTCTCAGTATGCTTAAGAACTGCTATTAGATTTTAGTATTTAAAAGTACCCTTTGAAAATGCAGTTAAAGTACTTCTGATCAGTCCAAGAGAGTAATCTATTTTCTAATATCAGTCAGACATGATTTCAATTATATGTCTTGTCTGCTTGCATATTAACTCAGATTGCAAAAGTTTGCTGTAAATACACAATTACAAGTATTGTTAATATGCCTTTCAAATTTTTTGTTGCATCAATTTGAAAATGATAAGAAGATGTAAACTTAAGTGTTTCTTTCTTTACTAGAGCACTTTCTTTCAAAGAGTGGAGGGGACTGCACTTTTATTCATCAGTTCATAGAATGTCAGAGTGAGTACAAGAGTGTTCATCACATTTGCTTTAAAAACAACAGAAAACCCAGAAAAGGTGGATTAAAAAACAGAATTTGTCACTACTATTTATTATTTCTGGAGTAGCAGAAATTTTCAAAGCATAGAATTGTGGCATTGTGATACTAAGCAGATGCCTGTAGAAGGAAGAGGATATCTTTGCTCTCGGCAAAGCGATGATCACATTGTCTCTTCTTAGCAGTTAATCCATTATTGTCCTCCAACCAGTAAAAGGGTGGTAATGTTGCCACATGATGTTTAAAACTGAGTGTAATTTTTCACCTGTTATGAATGAAGAAGTTGAAAACCTAACACTGTCAGTTTAAGCAGCATCACAAGCAGCAGTAGGACAGAGATAAGGTAATTATGCCTTTTCTTTATTTCACGTATCTGTAATTTATCTGATAGTTAAAGGTCTTACACATTCTTCAAATTTTTGTTCTTTGTAACAACTAAGGAAAACAATACCCTAAATTTTATGTGGAAATCTAAGAGACTCTTAAGAAAAATAGAACATAAATATGCAATACCAGTCTTTAGAAAGATGTGTTATTCTAGAATGAGAAACATGTTTTTCAAAGCA